TAGTGGGGACGCTGTCTGCTCTGTGGTACAGAGTCCTGATGACTCCTAACTTGTGCTCCAAAGGGTGATGGGAGTCAAACTGCAAATACTGGTCTGTGTGGGTGGGTTTGCGGTATACCTCGGTTTGCAAAAGTCCTCTATCAGAGACTGAGACCTCACAGTCCAAGAAAGCCAACCTGCCATTTTTTACATCTTCTCGTGTGAACTTGATGTATTTATCCACAGAGTTGATGTGGTCAGTAAAATGTTGGACTTCCTGAGATTTAATTTTAACCCAGGTGTTGTCAACATACCTGAACCAATGACTTGGTGGTGTCCCTGAAAAGGACGTCAAGGCTCTCTTTTCTACCTCCTCCATGTACAGGTTGGCAACAATAGGAGAAACTGGAGACCCCATAGCACACCCATGTTTCTGCCTATAATATTGCTCCCCATATGTGAAGTAGGTTGACTGCAGGCACAGTTTCAAGAGTTGACACAATTGTTCTGTGGAAAGCGTGGTCCTGCTCAGAGTGGTGTCTGATTCAGACACCACTAGTAAAAGAGGCCATCTTTGTGAAAAGAAATCGTCCATCATTAAACAGGGGTGGAGCCTCCGGGTTCAACTGTCCCCCTCTTACAATGCTGTGATTGCTAGTATCACTCAGCCCTCTGTGAATAGTAAACAGCCATCAGGTGCTAATGATCCATTGTTAGGCTGATGGTCCTTCTCGATCATGTGAGCAGCTGGTTTTGGTTGTCAGCAGCAAACTGGTTGATCCACTCTGAGAAGGTGCTATTTAAGAGACTGAGCTGAATACAGCACCTCAGACTGAGGAAGTCTCTTGGATGAGAGACAAAACGTTTCTTTTGCTTTGTTTTTTGTTCTTGTTTTTTGAATGTCCAGAGGACCAGATTGAACTTTTTTTTGTGTGAATTTGATACTATTTCTATCTTAACATGTGATTCTTGACCTGCCATTGTGTCTCTGTTCCTACCAAACCCAGCCGGTCGATGCAGATGGCTGCTTGTCCTGAGCCTGGTTCTGCTAAAGGTTTCTTCCTCATGTCGTAATTTTCCTTTCCACTGTCGCCTTCATGCTTGCTCAAGATGAGAGTTCTGCGATGGAGTTAAACTTGAAGCAGTCTGATTCTCAGATAGATTATTATTTAATATAAGAATGTTTCTGTTCAGTGCCCTGAGACAACTTCTGTTGACTTAGCGTTATATAAATAAACTGAACTGAATTGAACTGAATCCTTATCTGAATCACCTCAACTGACTTCTCTCACTACGAATCTCGTATGGACAGAAGACAGTCCTGTGTCCCTCACCCAGATGTGGTTTACAGAGTTCTCACCCTGGAGACAGTACTGGATCGTCGGTGAGTGCCATGCTGAATGGGCCTCTACCCATGGGGCTCAGCCCAAATGAGTTACATGGGTTCCCCTTCCTGTGAGCCCATCTCTGCTGGAGGGGCCATATGAATCGGGTGCACAATGCCATGGGTGGCAGTGGAAGGCGGGGGCCTTGGTTCTCCGACCCTGAACTACTGAATCTGGCTCTTGGACCTGGAAGGTCACCTCATTTCAGAATCAGAATCAACCTTTAATGTTATTGCATAGAAGCACAACAAAATTACATTTCAGTACAGCCGTCCAAAGAAAACAACACAGGTAGACGAGGATGCGTGAGGCTGCAGCCTCGTGTGAAGTGCAGCCCTTTTCGTTTAGATAAGGAAAAGGGAAAACATGAGAAAAGGGGGGGTACTGTATAAAAAAATCATCTCACACTGTGTCCTTGACGGGACACAGTGTGAGGTTGCAAAAAAACACTCAGCACAAGAAAAACCAACATATTGGTGACATAAAGACATATGCATGTGGAGTGGGTGAGGTTGGGGGTCCCAGGCAAAATGAGGGAGGCCAGTAAAGGCAGTGAATTTGAGGGGAAGTAGTCCCTGAACACTGTCCAGATAGCGACCCCCCCCCCTCCCCCAGCCATAGTCCTGATAAGTGATTGTGTAGTGTTTATCAGTCAGCTCGGTAGAGCTCTGACACAGGTCCATGTCCTTGGGAAAGGGAACAGGTAGGGAAGTGGGGAGTAGAGTGTCTTGTTCACATAACATCCAAGAGAATTTGAGATAGTCAACCTTCCAAGGCCGACACGGGGGAAGCCAGATTCAGATAGCAACATTTGTTTTGGGTCAGGCCGGGCTCTGTTAATTTCCATATGCCTTTTACAGTCTCGCTAGTACATCTCAATGGCGACACCAAACAGCCAAATTGTGGGCACATACACAGAGTCGAGCTTGCAACTTCTCCGAGATCTATTCCTTCCCACCAGCGAGATTCAGAAGTCGCAAGTAGCCTGCGATTCACAGCAAGAATCGTGTCCACCTTATGGCTCAGCTCGTACAGCCTTTGCGTCTGAGTGTTGACAGCACAGCACATTCCTTCACACATGTCAGGCAGCATTACAATGGCCCGAACAGCTGCAGACGTTTTCTGAATTTGTCGATATGCCAGGTAATCACCAACTCCAGAAAGCAGAAATCCTGTTATCATAAATCCAATTATGTACGCATCTTCAGCATCCTCGACCAATAATATGATTAGACACACGATCTTCCACTTGCCCCAGGAATCCATCATGTATCCGGCTGACAGTATCCTATTGGAGCAGAGGGCTCTCCTTCGCCCTGTCTTCTCACTGAGAAAATTTGATCAATTGCGTTGAGAGACCAGCTAACCAAATCCATGATTTGCAATTCGGAAGATATGTAAAGAGAGGCTCTAAAAAGGTTCACAGGACAAAGAGTAGAGCAGGGAAGGAGCAGGAGGGAAAAGCGTCCGCTTTTACCGAGAGCAAGAACGAAAAGATTATTACTATTATTCATAATGTTTGATTCATTTCTTTATTCTTGTTTTATTTCACAAAAATCATAAAGTGTAAAAAAAGTTAAAAAAAAAAAGGTAAAAAAGTTTTAAAGAGTGCAGGAGTCAGTGACCTCAGCTGCCCCTGCCCCTAACTCAGCCCACTGTACAGTACTTTATAAAAAATCTTAGTATTTACCGGTAATCTTTGAATGAACTTCCGGCGTTAGAAAATGCGACCTTTGTGAGGTCCGAACTGCCTCACGTTACCAAACCATCTCCTTTATCTCTGAGAAGTGGGACCGTTCACACAGGAATTCTGGGGGTGTTCTGGATCCAATGGGCTGCCAGTGATTCCTTTGGGTCAGGTGGGACTGCCACAGTTCTTCCAGTAAATCCTGCAGATGTTCTGTTGGACCAGGGATTTTTAGATTTTGAATGTTAGGTCAAAACTGTGGCATCACAGTGGCACAGTTGGTAGAGCTGCTGCCTCTCTGTGAGCAGGTTGCCCCGGTTCAAATCCTGGCTGGGGACCTTTCTGGGTGGAGTTTGCATGTTCTCTCTGTACATGCGTGGGTTTTCTACAGATACTCCGGTTTTCTCACACAGACCAAAAACATGCATGTTAGGTTAACTGGTAACTCTAAATTGTCCCTAGGTGTGAGTGAGAGAGTGAATGGTTGTTTGTCTCGTTTGTCTCTATGTGTCCCTGTGATGGACACCTGTCCAGGGTGTCCCCCGCCCCTCGCACAACGATGGCTGGACATGGACACCAGTGACCCCCGCAACCCAAAAAGGAAGAAGCAGGTAAAGATAATAGATGGATGGTCAAAACTGTGAGGTTTTTAGTACCAGAGCGGGTTTTGTGTTGAGGAGAGGCCTCCGGTTCTGATGGATAAACAGACTGTTTTGGTGTGGCCTCCAGAACCAGCTGATCCACCAAACTTTTGACTCAGTAAAGATCCGTTAGAAGAACTTAAAGAGCACAAACCTCCGCCTTGTACATCTTGATCAGGCCTTGGTTGACTTTGGACCAGGACGGAACAGCGCTGATGTTCCACAGCTGGTTAGAGTGCTCTGCAAATGGACCCGTCTTCATCTGCAGAACAGAACCAATCAGAGGTGGAGAAACGTCAAACTAATTCATATAGTAACAAGAACAGGAAGGAGGAAGAGATGAGGGAAGCCTTATCAAAATAAAATAAAATTTTTAAATAATTAAAATGAGAAATCAAAATCAAAATATTATTAATATAACTTTTGTCCCTGAATGTCAAAATTTAAATTAACCAGAGAAACGTAATTTCCTGTGAAGATGCAGCTGAATGATTTCAGCTTAAAGCAGCCAAAGAAGCTGAAGAGTTCATCTCTAAACTGTTAATGTTTAACAGCTGACATTTGCTCAAAGAAGGAAAATAAAAGCTGAATGCAGCAGAATGCCAACTGAGTTGTGTAGAAAAAGCAGAAATGAGCAGAAATAAGCTGAAACTAGTTTTTTTAAAAAGAAGCTAAAACTAGTGTAAAGAGGCTGAAAGGAGCATAAAAATGCTGAAATAAGCATAAAAATACCTCAAAAGTAGCTGAAAAAAGTTGAAAGGAGATGAAGGAAATCATGAAGGACCCAACTCACCCAGCACACACACTTTTTGCCCCGCTCCTCTCAGGCAGAAGGTTGAGGTGCATTAAGTGTAGAACCACTAGACTGAGGGACAGCTTCTACCCTGACTGTTAAATCTCTAACCAGGATAATCACTGTAATACTAATAATAATAATAATAAAAATAAAAGAAAAATCACTGTAATGCCACTTTAATTGGTAGTATGCAACTTATCTGTGCTGCTGATCATCACATGCTGCTGATAATCTCATGCTGCTGTATTCATTCATACCCATGTGCCCACCACAGAGTCATGCTCGGGCTGCTGTTGTTACACCGTATTGTTTTACATTATTAGTGTTTACCATGCCAACCGTGGACCCTGAGGAACACCATCCTGCATGTTTTAGTTGTTTCCCTGATTTAAATGAATGGGTGATTAACAGGCTTCTACAGAAATTGATGAAGTAATTAAATCATTGAATCAGGTGCGCTGGAGCAGGGAAACAGTTAACTAAGACATGCAGGATGGTGTTCCTCCAGGACCAGTGTTGGGAACCACAGTTTTATCTTAGATCCTTATTTACGGCTTCTTTTTACACTTTATATTTTTGCTATTTTTGGGTGTAACTGGGACCCTGTGTACAAAATTTTGTTCCACCTCATGTACCACATGTGATGCGAATGACAATAAACTTGAACTTGAAGGGAAGCTGAAATGAGCAGTAAAGGTTGTAAACAGCTAAAGGGTCTGAAAGACGTGAGGAGAACTCCATTAATTTTCAATGAGAAAAACATGGCTGACAAAGCTAAATAATTCAAAAAGTAAAAGTTGAATAAAAACCAAAAGTCAAAGCAGGAATGTCCTGAATGAGCCAAATGATTTGAGACATGAACTGTTGAAACAGAAGAAAAAGTGAGGAATGAGTTACGAGCTGACAAACATGAATAAAACTGGATCGATAAGAATGATTCAGAAACATTCAGACTTTAATTTTATGTAAATAAACTGAAACAAGATTTCTCACATTATGTTGGGAGCAAACATAGTAAACATTTTAAATGTTTTAATTCACTGGTTATGTTCAGATTAGGGCTGAAACAATTCCTCGAATAATCGGAGTACCTTGATTACAAAAAATCTTCTAGGCAAATTTATCTACCTCGAAGCTTCGTTAAACTATTCAGAGCACTGTGGTCTAGCCGGAAGGTTTTTGTGTTGCGCAATGCTTCTGCTAACGTGTATGTGCTAAGTTTGTAGCTATGGAGGGAAACGGAGACTGCCTAGAAGAAGAGCTCAGAAAACAACAAAAACTGTAAAAAGTTTGGGTACATTTAAGGCTAAACAGAAAAGATAACACAGCGAAATGCATCCACTGCAAAGCAGAACTGAAGTAACTACAACAGCACGTCGTCGATGTTGCAGCGTCTGAAGAGAAAACACCCGCTGTAGCATCAAACTCCTCCGCAGCTGTAACAGGTATCGTTTATGCTCTCTTTGCAAAATACGTGAACCTAAATGTATGATAATTAGGGCTTTAACAGACTACTCGAGTAATCGACATAGATTCCTACGACATCTATTGAGTTTTTAAATTTCATGTTAGAGTATTCGTAGTGACGTCATTACATTGTCGTTACGTCACTGCGTCGCGTCACTGCGTCGCGTCACTGCGTCGCGTCACTG